CTCGCTGTTTTCTACAATCATCTGCTATTTTGTAACCTGTTATAGTATATGTGGTATCTAATTCCACGATCCTATTGTCTGCATGTGCTCTATCTTTAAAACTATAAATACTGGCGATTTCTACCTCAGAGTTCGTTAGCCTCTCAGTTAGTCTTCTAGTTAGTCTCTCACAGTCTAATACTTCTACTCGTTACTCACGACAGCTTGCACGCTGATCTACCGTAACTATCTCACTGTACTTCACATTACTAACCTACAATAAAGCATAACTTTTATAAACCCTTTGGTTTAATAATTGTAAATGGCGACTAAATCTCAATCCTCTGAGATATCGAACCCTCCATCACACATAATAGAAAGTGTACACTTTTGTATACTCGTACTAATTTATTTTACTCGTAAAATGTCCTATCTTAATCTCACAGCCATAAATTGCGATACTTACTCTAACTAAAGTATAGCAGTGCCCGTTATTTTACTCGTAAAATGTACTATTCTGATTTCATAGCCATAAATTAGATACTTACTCTCAACGAAGTAAAACAGTAACAGTAACTTAATACTATGATTAAGGAATTCCTGCGGGATTGATAACTAGTCATTTTATAAAAAACTTATATTTTAGCATCATACCTAAACTAACGTCAAGTAATGTGAAAAATTTATTTCAGTCGTTTAATTGATATCAAGAAACATCCTAAATACATATTAAAAGTATTTTTTGAGGCGAAATTTGTTTTCTTTATTATAATCGAATAAAACGTTACAGACAAATCTGATATATTAAAATTATTCGTATTAAAGCAAGAAGAAATCATAATGAATGACTTAAGAATCAAACGATGTTGTCATTAGATGATGACAATACGACAAATTATACGAAGTAGAATGTTATCTATCAAGATATAACTGTAAGTAATAGTCTTCATGACAAGTAAGTCATCGGTCATTTACAAATCAAATAATAATCGATTTTTATCCGTATTACGTTACTACTAATCTCAATGTGAAGATTAAGCGCTATTAATCAGTATTTAGTAAACAGGTAAGATTCTACAATTAATAAAGACTTCAAGAAGAAATTTAGATCAGAGTGTATAGCTTGTATAATTTATTTCTTAATCACATATTGAGAACTAATTCAAAATATCGGTTCCAAGTGTTAGTGGTGAATTAGTAGCTTCCCATCTACGCCTGATTTTTGTCACAATGCCGTTTGCTTCATCGCACTATATTAAAATTTCAAAACAATTATTGTGAAATAATAAAAGATAGAATAAAATTCTACCACCACTCGTGGTACAAATGATCGATAACTACCCGATTCTATGCAAAATGATGTAGAAAATTATCAATAATC